GACTGCATTTAGGTGAACAGCCCCACTTCGAGCCAGAACAGGCCCAGGTGAGAAGACGGAAGTTCACCTTTTGCAGTTGCGTCATGGCATAGGTGCATTCTTTTTCTCCTCTCCTAAAATTCTTCCGTTTCTGACACTGCCGAGCCAGTTGTGAAATCTCGTGATCGTGCGAGCCCACCATAACTGGGGGTTGCAACCTTCCGGAACACGGTGTTTGTTCGTGGTGAGACCCTTAGGCCAGGTCTTAGACCTGGCCTACACACTGAGCTTATGGAATCACAGTGATTGGCACAAGACACGGGACTGTCAGTAGATAGTGAGTCACAATGGCTCACTGTCTACGGATGACCTACACTGGGAATACACCCATAGACACTATTGACTGCATCACTACCTTCTACAATGCCACTGGCACACCAGCCACTAACCATATCAAACACGCCAACACAAACACCATCAAATTTCTCATTGCCTCAGAAGACGACCTTTTTGCCTGTTTCAAGGAACCTACTTTCAGAAAACTCACACAAGCTTCACTTACTCCTGTTCTCACTATTGAACAAAAAACTAAATGCTCTGTACTTGTAAGAAATGTCGACAGCTCTGTCCTTTCAGCACCTAATACTATCAATCTCTCTCAAGACATCTCTCACAGGAATGCTATTACTGTAATGGAGATATACCCAGTGCCCAATACAAAACACCTCAAGATCCAATGTTCCTCCCCTACAGAAGCTCAAAAACTCTTGCACCATGGAATTAAAATCCTCAACACCAGCACTCCTCCCTATCTCATTAGTCCAGTTGACTATCTTCCTTTACTACAATGTTTCAAGTGTTATAAGTATAATCACGAAACAAGAAAATGTAAAAGCCCACAAATTTGCTCCAAATGCTCTGCTGAAGGTCATTTCTATACTCAGTGCTCTGCCCCTATCTTAAAATGCACCAATTGCCAAGGTGCTCACTCAGCAGTTGACAAATCTTGCCCTTTGAGAAAGCAAACCCTAAAATCTCTTCGAAATAACCAACCTCGCACTCAAGCACACCCTCATTCCTCTTCTTCAACCTCCCATAACCTATCTCATCACCAAACAGCATCAGCCACCTCAATGTCCTATGCCAGTGTCCTTAATGCTTCACTTCACCAGCAACATCATCATAATACTGCACAACAAACTCAGTCCTCTCCACCTCTCTTCCCTCACCCACCACCTCCACCTTATTCTCCTCTTCAGAACCTTTCATACGAACGAGTCACTGCCTGTGTACAAGCTGCTTACTTGAAGGCCAAGGACGATGGCCGTGACTTTGCTGACTATCTTCCAATCTTTCTCACTCATAACGGCCTTCCTAGTATTTCTGTTCCTCCTACTCAACTATTGCGCTCTGCTCCATTCTCGCCTACAGTCCTCACTCCACAAAACACCATGACTTCAGTTGAAGAAAATACCACAGTTCCCCCACAACGTTCTACCAACCCACTCCTGACTGCTACAGAAAACGGTGCCACTGACCAAACAGCACATCCTGGACTATCCCAAACTGAAGCATCCATGTCAAAGGCACTTTCAACCTCTTCTCCCAACATTGTCCTCTCCACTTCCAATCTGACTACTAACACTACAACCTCTGATACCTCTCACCCGGTCCCTGTCAACAAGCCTTCTGCCTCCCTCCATCCCCCAACAACTCCAGCGATTTCTTCTGTAACTCATCTCATCTCGTCCCGAGCCCGCTCAGCAACCCGTTATCTTACTCCCACCTCCCGCTGTCAATTTCCCACAATTCCTACCACCCTCCTCCAAGATGCACCCTCCTCAGTAACTGCCCAAGTCATTGAATCACGCAAACCTCATGCTCTTGTACATGCACAAAACCCCACCAGCACCCCATCAAAACCTAAAAATTCATAAAGATCATCCAATTTAATGTGCGGGCATATTTCTCCATTAGACACATGGTGTCAGATTTTATTGAGATCGAGAGACCTGATGTGCTATTATTAAAAAGCACATACATTACGAACTCATATAAAATCAAACATTATGGCTACTCCTCTTACCAGTCACCAGATGAAGCACATGAAGGAGTTGCAATACTCATCCGTTCTTCATACAAACACGAACTCCTACACACTCATTGGCTTCACAAACATTTCCTAGCCATTAAAGTTCATACACAAATGGGGTCTCATCATCTGCACAACCTACACCCGTCCTAACACCGACATTCCCATGCAAGATTTCATAACTCTCTTCAACAACTCTCACTTGCCTGTTTTTCTGCTTGCAGACCTCAATGCACAACACCCTACATTCCACCACAATACCACAAATCAGCATGGCAGACAGCTTCACCAAATATACAACCAAAAACATCTATTCTTTCTTGGCCCTGATTTCCCCACTTGTTTCACACATACAGGTTCTGGCCGGCCTGATCTCATATTCACCAACAGACACGGCAGCAACTTGCAACACTTCATTTCACCAGGGCCCATTACGGGCTCTGATCATATTCCCTTAATTCTCACAGTCTCCACAAATCCTATTCTCATCCCCAGCACTCCTCAATTCTCATACCATAGGGCAAACTGGGACATGTTCAAACAACACATTGATGACACTGATCTCACTTATGAATACAATGACAAACATCACACTGACATCGACACACAAGCACGCAACATACAAGACACCATCATTCATGCAGCAAACATCTCCATTCCTAAAACAGCACACAAACCACATTTCACTTTCACCCCCTCCATTCGCTCCAAACGCCTCTTAGCTTGCTATCACACTAGATTCTTACAAAACATACATCGTCATGGACAAATACTATGGGACCTAACAGCATTAAAAAACCATATCCTTAACAGCCTAGATGAAGACCACACAAAACATTGGAAACACCTTATAGAACAAGCAGAACAATACAGAAAACTGACACCTCAAGAATTCTGGAAACGAATCAAACGATTACAAGGATCAACTCACACACCGTTTAAATACCTTCTACATAATAACAACAAAATCACTGATCCTGAAGCAGTTCTCAACATTTTTAAACACCACTGGGAACAAATCTTTCACCCACATCCTCCTGAACCATTTGCACGCCCCAACATTGAAATAGTCGAAGACTGGATACACCAAAATAGACAAGCAACTACACCAGACGACCTCATCCACCTTGAAAATCTCAATTCAAACACTGAACTACAGACTCCCCTAACTCTAGCTGATGTCAAGACAGCTCTCATGGGCACTCGTCGTAGAGCCCCTGGTGCGTCTGGCATTGGACATATCCTTCTTAGACAACTCCCTGCTTCTATCATTACTGCTATCACTAACCTATTCAACGCCTCCCTTGCCTCTGGATACTTTCCACTCAACTTTAAGTCTGCCACAGCCGTTCTTATTCCAAAACCTGGGAAACCCCACACTGACCCAAAGAACTATAGACCCATCAGCCTTCTAGAGACACTTGGCAAAGTCTTTGAAAGGCTGATCAACCAGAGACTTAGAACGCACCTTGAACACAATGACTTACTCACTAACAAACAGTTTGGATTTCGGCCTCACCGGTCCACTCACGACGCCTTAAACATCATGACTAACTACCTCAGTATCAATCAGCACCAAAGACTTAAGACTGCACTCATCACTAAGGACGTTGAGAAGGCCTTTGACACTGTTTGGCATGACGGCTTAAAATTCAAACTATGCAACAACTTTAATCTTCCTCTTATCACCACCAAACTTCTTTCGAACTACTTAGACAATAGGACAATGAGAATTAAGTTCCTCCAACAACACTCTGACTACTTCAACTTACACGCCGGTGTTCCCCAAGGTTCTGTTCTTGCCCCAACACTCTACATCCTATACATAAACGACATTCCTGACCCTGTTCATCACACTTCATTAACCATATGTTATGCTGATGATGTCTCTCACCTTGTCACCAGCAACACCATTGATACACTAACAAACAGAGCACAAACAGAACTTGATGTTGTCACTGAGTGGGAGTACAAATGGCGTATAAAAACCAACTCCAGCAAATCTAAAATCACCTACTTTTTCTGTAAAAGAACTATTCGCCCAATTCCTCTCAAACTCTATTCATACACTCAAAATCCTACTTATATCTCAGTATCTCCCTCCTCCACAGTCCTGGGACTCACATTTGATCGACAACTACTCTTTCACACACACATAACACAGAAACATGCAATAGCTCTTCAAGCCATGAAGAAACTATACAGACTTAGATTTGCAAAACCTGACACAAAAAATGCACCTTTACAAAGCACTTATTAGACCTCTCCTAACATACGCTCCACTAGCTCTTTCTCTATCTGCACGTACTAACAAAATAAAACTTCAAAGAATACAGAATAGAGCACTAAGATGGGTACTCAACACCCGATGGCAAGAGTTAAATACCAGTCAAAGTCTCCATGAAAGTATGAACATTCCTGCCCTAAATACCTACTGGAAAACTTTATCAGATAAACAAATTGATAGACTACTCACTTATCATGAACAACACATTGATTTTCTCCTACACACTCTCAGACTACCACGAAACAATCATGACCTCTTCTCTACTATCCATGATCCTCCTCCTAACTCTGTATTTCGTTAAACTTTATCTCCCAACACCCAGCATCCACTATCATTACATATTCAGCTCTCAACAACCAGCACAAACAATCCGTAATAAGTTCAGCCCTGACGCTCTTGAGCCAATCACTGTGATGTTGTGAGTTTGTGATGTCCCGATGTTGTCACTGAAAACACCCGACTGAGTCCCTGCCTCGAAAGCCGTAACCTAACGACACGCAGCTGGGTTTAGCCCTGGCACTTTTTCTCTAACAAATCTTCTTCCTCTCACCCCCCCTTATCTTCTTCTGTCCCCACTTCCAAGCTCGCCCCATGGGCATCTTCTCCTGTATTATTCTGATTCTGGTTCTGATTCGCAAAAGTTCATTATTGTATCGCAACGCCAGCCAGCACGAGCATCATCATGCCACCCAAGGCATCTGGAAAGGCTGCCAAGAAGGCCGGAAAGGCCCAGAAGGCCATTGCCAAGGGCGATAAGAAAAAGAAGCGCAGGAGGAAGGAGAGCTACAGCATCTACATCTACAAAGTGCTGAAGCAGGTCCACCCCGACACTGGTATCTCTTCCAAAGCCATGTCGATCATGAACTCGTTCGTGAACGACATCTTCGAGCGCATCGCCGCCGAGGCTTCTCGCCTGGCCCACTACAACAAGCGTTCCACCATTACCAGTCGGGAGATCCAGACGGCTGTAAGGCTCCTGTTGCCCGGAGAACTGGCCAAGCACGCCGTCTCTGAGGGCACTAAGGCCGTCACCAAGTACACCTCCTCCAAGTAAACGGCTTACTTACTGCCCTGTGGTGGTGGCTTGGCCTCAAACCAAGGGGGGGGGGAGGATCCTTGGCAGTGCATAAGAACGAAAAGCGACGGCGTTTTGTTTGTAAGAGGACAGGTTGTACTACAAATGACTTGATTTATTGATATCACGTGTACAGTGTATGTATGACACCTAAATTAGTGTATTTATTTATTTATTATATGTATAGATGAAGGTTAATTCATATATGACTGATGCTAGGAATGTCTGAAATCTCCTTAGAAGGATATTTTGGCCCTGAGAAGGGCCGAGTTTGGTGTATACTAGGGTGGTCGATTTAGCTTATGCACGCTCTCCACGGATACGGCGAGCAAGCTGAATGTCCTTTGGCATGATGGTGACACGCTTGGCGTGGATGGCACAGAGGTTAGTGTCCTCGAAGAGACCGACCAGGTAAGCCTCGGATGCCTCCTGTAAAGCCATGACGGCAGACGACTGGAAGCGAAGATCGGTCTTGAAGTCCTGGGCAATCTCGCGCACCAGACGCTGGAAGGGAAGTTTCCTGATGAGCAACTCTGTGCTCTTCTGGTAACGACGGATCTCACGCAGGGCGACCGTTCCGGGCCTGTAACGGTGAGGCTTCTTCACGCCCCCTGTGGCAGGAGCAGACTTGCGTGCTGCCTTGGTGGCCAGCTGCTTACGAGGAGCCTTGCCTCCCGTGGACTTGCGAGCAGTCTGCTTGGTGCGAGCCATGGTGAACAACTGTGGCTTGTGATGGCCACAGCCTCAAAATTTTTGGCTTTATACGCCGTCTCGAGGCGCCCGCTCGAGCGCCATTGGCTGCTCAACTCGCCTACGTCACCCCGTTGCCCCTCCCCCTCCTTCCTCTTGCTGCAGCCAACAGGCGGCTCTCCCCAATCACTATTATCGCTGATTTTGCTCTATTTTTTGGCTTTTGTGCCAAAGTCATTTCACAGGGACGTGAAACAGACGAGTAGGCAACTGCAGTTTTGAAAGCGTTGTGAGAAAGTTGTGTTTCTAGTCGAATACAAGCATAAAGTAAGGACAGGCAGGAGTTGCAATGCTACAAGTACGTCCGCTTGACGGGATATAGTCTGGGAAACGCGAAAATTTTTAATCACTTCACACAACAACTTCAACACCATGACTGGACGCGGCAAGGGAGGCAAGGGACTCGGAAAGGGTGGCGCCAAGCGTCATCGTAAGGTGCTACGTGACAACATCCAGCGCATCACCAAGCCCGCTATTCGTCGCTTAGCTCGTCGTGGTGGCGTCAAGCGTATTTCGGGTCTCATCTACGAAGAGACCCGTGGCGTCCTGAAGGTGTTCCTCGAGAACGTCATCCGTGATGCTGTAACCTACACGGAACACGTCAAGAGGAAGACCGTCACTGCCATGGACGTGGTGTACGCTCTGAAGCGCCAGGGTCGTACCCTCTACGGATTCGGCGGATAAGAGCTTGGCTAATCCATCGATACGATACCACCCACCACCACCACCTCAAAACGGGACCTAATTAGGTCCCTATACATTTTTACTGAAGGGCTTAATAGACGATAACAAATTGTTTTGATATCAGTTAGCACATTGGATCTTATGAAATCTATTTATCCTCGCATGATTAAAGGGACTCTGATTGGGGAGGGGGGGATGGCAGAGTGGGGATGGGGTGGGGGGGGGGGTATGTTATATATTAGCAGAGCAGGATCATTGGGAGAGGGGGGGGGGTTGTCGGTCTTTCCCAACTCTTCCTTTTTACATGAGTGAGCTACCCGTTTTATTCATTTCATCCTTCTCAGAGCTGTTTTGATAGTATCCAAATGATGGTAAATGAAAAGGGAGGACACGAATATCTAGCCAGAATTCAGGACTGGCAATCGATATGCATGTTTGAGTGCGAATCTTTTTCTCTCTCAACTTAGGTATACGTTTATGTCGTACCTAAAAGCGAGAACCACACTATCCGGACAAGTATGCAAGGCCCAATTTTCCTAACAAGCACAGTTAATTTTGTTATTTTCGAACATTTCCTTCCAAATTGGTTTATCCAATTAACAGTATTATATTAAGATCATGAATTGCTGGGTTAGGTTAGGTTAGGTTAGGTTAGCTTAGCTTAGCTTGGGTTAGCATAGGTTAGGTTAGGTTAGGTTTGATTACATTTCTATGTTAGATTTAACTCAAATTCAAAACAATTGCAGTCATTCGGCTTGTTAGTCAACTTGCCTCTAAATGTTTGAAGAGTATATATATATATATATATATATATATATATATATATATATATATATATATATATATATATATATATATATATATATATATATATATATATATATATATATATATATATATATATATATATATATATATATATATATATATATATATAATATTATAGCTTCAAGACTCCGAACCAATATAGAAGCATCAAGAGGAAGTGCTTGTGTTATGGGCCAATAGGCCTTCTGCAGTTACTTCCGTTCTTATGTTTTTATCCCCATTGGTTCGTGTTTTATCTTGTGTAAATGTCAATCACCTTACCCAAAACTTTGGTACCATATCACCTCACCCATGTATATGTGTATAAATATATATATTAGTATGAGAGTAAGAGTGATTGAGAGTTAGTGAGAGTAAGAGTGATTGAGAGTAAGAGTGATTGAGAGTAAGAGTGATTGGGAGTAAGAGTGATTAGGAGTAGGAGTAAGAGTGAGAGTAGGAGTAAGAATGAGAATAAGAGTGATTGAGAGTAAGAGTGAGTAAGAATGAGAGTAAGAGTGATTGAGAGTAAGAGTGATTGAGAGTAAGAGTGATTGAGAGTAAGAGTGATTGGGAGTAAGAGTATGAGTGAGAGTAAGAGTAAGAATGAGAATAAGAGTGATTGAGAGTAAGAGTGATTGGGAGTAAGAGTAAGAGTAAGAATGAGAGTAGGAGTGATTGAGAGTAGGAGTGATTGGGAGTAGGAGTGATTGGGAGTAAGAGTGATTGAGAGTAAGAGTAATTGAGAGTAAGAGTATGAGAGTAAGAGTGAGAGAGTGAGTATGAATGGGTAAGGGTGACTGAGAGTGAGTAAGAGTGACAGAGTAAGAGTGATAGAGAGTAAGAGTGACAGAGAGTAAGAGTGACAGAGAGTAAGAGTGACAGAGAGTAAGAGTGACAGAGAGTAAGAGTGACAGAGAGTAAGAGTGACAAAGTAAGAGTGAAAGAGAGTAAGAGTGACAGAGAGTAAGAGTGACAGAGTAAGAGTGAGTATGAGAGTGAGTAAGGATGACTGAGAGTAAGAGTGAGTAATAGTGCGTAAGAGTGATTGAGAGTTAGAGTGAGAGTAAGAGTGATTGAGAGTTAGTGAGAGTAAGAGTGATTGAGAGTAAGAGTGATTGAGAGTAGGAGTGATTGAGAGTAAGAGTGATTGGGAGTAAGAGTGATTGAGAGTAAGAGTGATTGGGAGTAAGAGTGATTAGGAGTAGGAGTATGAATGAGAATAAGAGTGATTGAGAGTAAGAGTGAGTAAGAGTAAGAATGAGAGTAAGAGTGATTGAGAGTAAGAGTGATTGAGAGTAAGAGTGATTGAGAGTAAGAGTGATTGGGAGTAAGAGTGATTGGGAGTAAGAGTGAGAGTAAGAGTAAGAATGAGAATAAGAGTGATTGAGATTAAGAGTGATTGGGAGTAAGAGTAAGAGTAAGAATGAGAGTAGGAGTGATTGAGAGTAGGAGTGATTGGGAGTAGGAGTGATTGGGAGTAAGAGTGATTGAGAGTAAGAGTAATTGAGAGTAAGAGTATGAGAGTAAGAGTGAGAGAGTGAGTATGAATGGGTAAGGGTGACTGAGAGTGAGTAAGAATGACAGAGTAAGAGTGACAGAGAGTAAGAGTGACAGAGAGTAAGAGTGACAGAGAGTAAGAGTGACAGAGAGTAAGAGTGACAGAGTAAGAGTGACAGAGTAAGAGTGACAGAGAGTAAGAGTGACAGAGAGTAGGAGTGACAGAGAGTAAGAGTGACAGAGTAAGAGTGACAGAGTAAGAGTGAGTATGAGAGTGAGTAAGGATGACTGAGAGTAAGAGTGAGTAATAGTGGGTAAGAGTGATTGAGAGTAAGAGTGAGTAATAGTGTGTAAGAGTGATTGAGAGTAAGAGTGAGTAATAGTGCATAAGAGTGATTGAGAGTGAGAGTGATTATGAGAGAGTTAAGAGTGTGAGGTGTGAGAGGGTAGCAGGCCAGCAAAGCAGGATGTGTGGTCACAGATAGGCCTAGGCCTAGGCCTCGTGATCTCTAATGTTGGTTTTTATATATATGTTGGATTTTTTGTCCTGTTTCAAATTATAATTATTTAGCAGGAATGTAATAAGATATTGCACAGTATTAATGTGACAATAATATATGCATTATTTCCTTGATAATCAAACTTGTTGTTCAAAGATAATATACAATCTTTGAAGGAAACATTTTGAGAGCGCGAGCTGGCAACACTGTTCTGGTGGTGAGAGAGACATGGTTAGTTGTGCTCAGACCTTCAGTGGTGAAGGATATGTCCCAGCTGGCCGCCACCAGCCGCCACCCGCCACCACCCGCCGCCACCCGCCACCCACCACCAGCCGCCACCCGCCACCACCCACCACCAGCCGCCACCTGCCACCACCCACCACCAGCCGCCACCCGCCACCACCAGCCGCCACCCGCCACCACCCACCACCAGCCACCACCCGCCGCCACCACCCACCGCCACCACCCACCACCAGCCGCCACCCGCCACCAGCCACCGCCACCCACCACCGCCACCCTCAGCCACCACCCACCACCACCAGCCGCCGCCACCACCACCACCCACCACCACCGCCGCCACCACCCATCACCGCCGCCGCCACCACCACCCACCACCACCGCCGCCACCACCCATCACCGCCGCCACCACCCACCACAGCCGCCGCCGCCACCACTACCACCCACCACAGCCGCCGCCGACACCACCGCCACCACCCACCACAGCCGCCACCACCACCCACCACCGCCGCCACCACCACCCACCACCACCACCACCACCCACCACCGCCGCCACCACCAGCCGCCACAAGCCGCCACCGCCCGCCACCGCCCGCCATCACCACCACCACCAGCCGCCATCACCGCCACCAGCCGCCACCAGCTGCCACCACCACCAGCCGCCACCACCGCCCGCCACCAGCCGCCACCAGCTGCCACCACCACCAGCCGCCACCACCGCCCGCCATCAGCCGCCACCGCCCGTTGCCACAGTCGCCACCGCCAGCCGCCACCACCAGCCGCCATCACCGCCACCACCAGCCGCCATCAGCTGCCACTGCCACCAGCCGTCACCACCAGCCACCACCAGCTGCCACCGCCCGCCACCAGCCGCCACCACCAGCCGCCACCACCGCCACCACCACCTGCCACCAGCCGCCACCACCGCCCGCTATCAGCCGTCACCGCCCGTTGCCACAGTCGCCACCGCAAGCCGCCACCGCCAGCCGCCACCAGCCCCCACCACCGCCGATAGCCACCACCCACCACAGCCGCCACCACCCACCACCCGCCGCCACCACCCACCACCACCAGCCGCCGCCGCCACCACCACCCACCACCACCGCCGCCACCACCCACCACCGCCAGCCGCCACCACCCACCACCACCGCCGCCACCACCCACCACAGCCGCCACCACTCATCACAATCGCCGCCGCCCGCCACCGCCCGCCACCGCCCGCCACCACCGCCAGACACAGCCGCCAGTGTCCGCCACCGCCGCCACTGTCCGCCGCCACTGTCCGCCACCGCCGCCACTGTCCGCCACTGCCGCCACTGTCCGCCACTGTCCGCCACCGCCACCACTGTCCGCCACCGCCACCACTGTCCGCCACCGCCACCACTGTCCGCCCACCGCCACCACTGTCCGCCCGCCGCCACCACTGTCCGCGTGCCGCCACCACTGTCCGCCCGCCGCCACCACTGTCCGCCCGCCGCCACCACTGTCCGCCCGCCGCCGCCACTGTCCGCCCGCCGCTGCCACTGTCCGCCCGCCGCCGCCACTGTCCGCCCGCCGCCACTGTCCACCACCGCCGCCACGGTCCGCCCGCAGCCACTATCCGCCACTATCCGCCACCGCCGCCACTGTCCGGCCGCCGCCACTGTCCGCCCGCCGCCACTATCCGCCACCGCCGCCACTGTCCGCCCGCCGCCACTATCCGCCACCGCCGCCACTGTCCGCCCGCTGCCACTGTCCGCCCGCCGCCACTATCCGCCACCGCCGCCACTGTCCGCCCGCCGCCACTCTCCGCCACCGCCGCCACTGTCCGCCCGCTGCCGCCCTGTCCGCCCGCCGCCACTGTCCGCCCGCCGCCACTATCCGCCACTGTCTGCCCGCCGCCACTGTCCGCCACCGCCGCCACTATCCGCCACCGCCGCCACTGTCTGCCCGCCGCCACTGTCCACCCGCCGCCACTGTCCACCTGCCGCC